GTTTTCTAGTTCCTCCTTTTTGACGATGACGAATGTGTCATCTACATAACGAATCCAAATTTTCGGTTTGATCACTGGTAGAATTATGGTTTCTAGTCGTTGCATTACTGCTTCCGCGATGAGTCCTGATATTGGTGATCCCATTGGTGTCCCTTTCGTTTGTTTGTAGATTTTGTTATTGAATTGGAAATATGTTGTTAGACATAGATCTATGAGTTCAAGTAGGCTTTGACGTTGAAGTTTCGTATATTTTGCGAGGTTTTCGTCGTTGGTTAGAAGCAAGGACAGGGTTTCTTTTGCTAAGTTTGGTTCAATGGAAGTGAATAGTGCTGTTACATCGAAGGATATCATTAGTTCGTCGTCGTTGATTTGAATATTCCTAATCTGATCAAGGAATTGTGTGGCTGATTTGATGGAGTGGTTCGACGAATCTACTAAATGTTTTAGTATTCTTGAGATTTCTCTTGATAAATTGTACGTTGGTGTTCCTGGTAGTGCTACAATTGGACGTAGTGGAATGTTTGGTTTGTGTATCTTTGGTCTGCCGTAGAACCGAGGGAGTACTGGTCCATTAGATTTCATTCTCCATTGATCTTGCTTCGTTATTTCTCCTGCTTTGACGAGTTTGTTTAAAGTTTTTACAATGCGATTGTCTAGTTTTTTGACTGGATTTATGTCCATCGGTTTGTATGTATTTTTGTCCTCGAGTATTTCCTCGGCTTTCTTGATGTATTCTTCTTTGTCCATAATCACCGTGGTGCGTCCTTTGTCTGCTGGAACGATGACAATATCTTTTCTGGTTCTGAGTTTCTTCAAAGCTGTTTGTTCTTGTGACGTCAGTTGGTTGTTGCCCTTCATCCGTTGAGTTAGTGGTACTATAAAACCATTCTTCAAAAGAACGGCTATCCAATCAATTTCATCAAAAAATACCAGTCGCACACACCATCAGAAACGAAGTCAGGTATGAAAATCAACAAAATGATCACCCTACCATACATAAAGGGCATATCGGAAACGACAACAAGGCTGCTGAAAACCTTCGGAATAGGTGTAGCCCACAAACCAACAAAGTCCCTCCACTCAATCTTATGCAAACCAAAAGATGAAATAGCAAAAGAGGACAAAACAAACATCATCTACAAGATAAATTGTACCAACTGCAACAAACACTATATTGGACAAAGCGGACGGCCCTTGCACCTTCGCCTACATGAACACCAATTAGCAGTCAAACGTCACGACATTTCTTCACTCATATCAATACACGTGGACAACTACGGACATACATTCGACTGGGAAAACGTGCAGATTTTGGACAGAGGTAATTCCAAAAATACCAGAGAATTTTTAGAAGCTTGGCACTCAGGTCAATCAGCAATAAACAAACATATTGAAATCAATCCAATCTATCAACCAATCAAGAAAATTATGCAAGAAGATAGGAACAAAAATCAAACCAATAGGAGATACAACCAAAACAAAGAAATAAACAATGACAGATTTAAGGTCAATAAGAACCAATCAACATCGAGGTGCAGAGGACAAGCTGTGAATCACATGTGGAGAAATTCAAACACTTCACTTCTACCCGAAGTTTGTGCTGATGATGTCGTTCAGAAGGACGATGAAAGCTCCACGACCAAACCACCCAGCTCAGAGAACAAACCAACATCAAAATTACTTTCTGGACTCCAAATGGGCAGGACTGGGCGAGAAAGACCAATAAGGATTCAGAGTTAACACAGGGCAGCTAGTGCTGGTTGACGTAAAATTAGTTTAGCACAAAAAAAGTCATATAAGTCGATAATCTGATTGGCGATTCGCCACGTGGGGTCAAGAGTTATAACAATTATTGATGATACTATAATTTATAAACGACCTTTGAGAGACGCTTGTGACCTTGAGAATGTCTACCTACTAACTAAAACTAAGGTTTATAAAACAGTCTGAAGCATTAGAATTATGATTTACAGTTGATGGTTAAGGTTAGGAATTAGATTTAGGATTTTCATCACGAACTGACAAAAGCTAAAATACCAAAACGCTATTTGGCAAAATAGTTAAATGAATCTCGCCCCAAAATCCAAGACCTGTTATCTTACATCTGATTAGTTTGCCCATAAATTATATTCTTACTCATTTATCTAATAATCTAATACAGAAAAGTGGTAAATTGAAGATAATTGTCCTAGTTATCACATTATGTCATAGGACTATACCTTGTTGTGAATGTGGAACAAAATGACATGTAATGAATTAAAATAAAATAAACCACTGATACTTTTGATAAACTATAAATCACATGAATCCTAAAATCTTATTTAAATGAAGGATTTATTTATTATTTCAATTCAGTACTATAAATCTACAAACCTTTATGCTTAAAGTACAAATGTATTTATTATGATGGTCAAAGCTTGTCAATAAAAAAGCTGACCGTTGAATATTGCAAAAGATCATTTAAAAAAAAACAGTACCAGAACACATAATTGATAATGTGTTCAAACGGCAAATATGAATGTATATCTATAACTAGATTGCATTGTATAACATTAGCTAAACACATCTAGTTATAGAAATAATGAAATTATTCATTTTCGAATTACATTATCACTACTAAATTAATACCTAAATTATTTCCACGAATAACAACACACAAACCAAACTGGATTCACTTCTCTTCATTTCTTAATGTTAATCTCTACATAACACACTCGTTAATACTTCTCTAATACCAGTTGACTTTGGAAGTCATTCATAATATGTGAAGTCATCTGGTATAATGTTCCAAACAGTGATGCACAATATACAGGAGATATCCATTCTCACTTGATATTTACATTCTACTATTCCCTTATTGAATTATCTCTCACTAAATGATGATTTCGATAGATTGTATCGAGAAGGATGATTGGGGACAAGACAAGATACAAGAAGCCTCGTACATGCATATCGAATTACTGAATCACAAAACAATTTAAACGATTATCCGATGACTGATTTCCTCACATTACAAGCATTCAGCCTACAACCAATCATTCAAAGTGTTTATGTTGGTTGATTGAAACTAGTCGACAACGAAGCATGGAACCAGATCTAGTGAAATATGGAACTGGTCAACAAGTTCACTATAATCTTCAGGTAACTGATCTTCATTATGGCATCCGACTCCACGTCATCTAGTTTCAAAGTCAAAGAACATACATTCTCTATTGGAGCTATGTCGAACAACATCCACCTCCCATGATACTGAGATATTTACAATTCATCCATTATCAACTGGTAACCAATATCACACTTGTGTCCACAAATTTATCTAAAATAGTTACTTCACGAGCGCTTCATTTCATGTACTTAAAAAGTATCCCTAGACTATCAATCATTTATAGAAATGAAAATGGCTTATCATAGTATGAATGAAATTCCTCACCAATCGAGAATTGAGGAAGAAATTATTTCTCCAGAATACTGATATATACTTCTCCTATAAACGGTAGTCAACAACCAACCTTTGTGGCAGGTTAAGTAGTATAAATATACCAGTTCAATTAGAGCCTCAAACAGTCAAACATACTACTTCTGCCAGAAGTTTGTGCTGATGATGTCGTTCACAAGAACGATGAAATCTCCACGACTTAACCATCCAGCTCAGAGAACAAAACTCCATCAAAGTCAAGCTTACTATTTCATTTTTGAAAATTATTTCTCTGGGTTGACCAAAGGACATAACAGAACAATCAGAAGCTTTACTCTAACCAATTCAATGGATTCTGGTCACTTCATCAACACAATATTAGCAGTCAATTGTTTCTGAATTGTTCCGTTGAACCTATCCAGTGCTCACAGGATTTGTCTATTACATACGGCGTAGGTCATAGGAAGATGTACATGAATCTAATCATTGTGTACAGAAAAGGTTTTTGCCGTCTCTTTATTCATCTTGACTCTCTGCTTAATTATTCCTATGCTTCTCGGACACTTTCTCAATTCTGTTTAATTTTAATTAATAATTTTATTCTTATGCAATTTGTTAAAATAATCTGATTACGTAATTTTCGATGCATCATTTTCAAAAATAACACCAAATATTTATAATCAATTGTTTAATTTTAAACTTGAATTTAAACTCCCATTCTTATTTTTGTATAACTAGTTGCACTAATCAACCGATTGCGTAACTGCGCTTAAGTTCTAACTTCATATTAACTGAGTTAATAATTAATTACTACCGTTGTACTAGGTATGATGGTACATCGGTTGTTGAGTTAGTATATCTTCATCGATTGAGTTGGTTGAGGCATATATAAAGTAGGCCTAACCACAATCTACCTCAGAGCGTGACGTTTGATAGTGTTGAAGGAGGTTGGAATAAAGCTAGGGGAAGTCAAATTAAGACATAGCATCAGTCCGTAAAATCAATGACTGTTGAACTAAACTGTATTGGTATATTCAAATCACCAAATTCTGCTTCACACGATTACTGTGACCAATTTTTAGAGATGTTGCATGATATATCTCAGAATGAGTGGCAACAGCGGAGATACATTCACTCATTATCTTCTCTTAGATCTTGATTTTCAAAATATCCTATACTACTTATTGAACAAATTCTTCTTTGTCGAATTATGCTGTCTGTACCTAATGGTTTTTACTACCACTGATAATATTACCAGTTTTACTAATCTGGTATTAGTCTTAACAGTTTCATCTCAGAGCTGATATTGTAGTGACTTGAACTACTGCGTATGTATGTTAGTTTGATGTTGCTCATAATTGACTGACTGAATAATATCTTTTGAGGAAACATTGAGATATGCATTTTTATTTCATTCGTCACCATTTATTTGGTATTCGTTCGATACTTAATCTTAAGATCATATGTTTCACGCTTAATTTAAAATCTTGAGAGTCAGTGTTGTTCCAAAATGGGGATCTAATTAAAAAATATATATTCCTTTATTCAACTTGTAAAATGGAAAGTTAGGGGATAAATAACTTACATCATTTATAGATTTATGTTCCGCAGTCGTTGCGGCCATTTGAGCATTTGCTGTTGTTCCTCCCGATAATGTTGCTCCTTGTGATGAGATATTATTTACTTGATCTACAACACCTGTATGATTTGGTATATTATTCAATGTCGTATGGCCATAATGACTACCGCCCAATAGAATTTCATCTTCACGACGTGACAAACTATCAGCAAATGTTTCAAGAACACAACGTTGTTTTTCTGTACGAATAATTCTATTGACTAGATTATCTGCACGACGACGACATTGACGTAATTCAACTAATAGCTCATTAACACATTGTGACCAAGTGTCTTCTTCACCAGATAATGATTTTGCTGAGAAGCTCACATCTAGAATAGTTGCAGCTCCACGAATTTCCACACTGTATAAGAAGAAAATGAAAAGATTTAAGAGAAGTGTAATTATTTAAATAATTAATTATAAATAAATTTGAGATAATGTTGTAAAATAAAATTCAACAATCTGCACAAACCCCTTTTGTAGTAATAGTCATATGTCCACTGAGGGATTATTTGGGGATATAATTGTCTGAGTTCTAGTGAGAAGCCGTGACAAGTAGAGTTCATCCGTGTTTAGTCTAAGCCGATAATCCATTGATTATATTGGAAGATGGTTGCATAATATCGAGTTGACTGAAATTAAAAATGTAAATCAGCAATGCTGAATCAATAGTTAAGTGCTTAAGTTCTCACAGTAAGACCTGAAGGTCCTGGATTCAGTCATATTTTAGATCAGCAATGCATACTTTTGAAGAGTTACATACTGCGTCGAAATATCTGTCCAGCGCTTTCTGGTATTAAGTGGTTATCTAACTAAGATTACTCATTGATGTAAGTTATAAAGTGGTTTTATTCAAATTACAAACTTAATATAGCAAAATACATCATCATATTTTAGATATATTTCGACCAAATTAGGCCATTTATCAAGGATAGAATTTTACAGTAATCTATTTTAGGAATTGGATTACCACAATTGACAAATTTACTTGACTCATTATTAAGCTACTTTATTTTGTCTATTCAAAAGTATTTAAGCAGATGATCAATTATTTATTGAAAAACTACTGGACGGAGTGCAAACCAAAACACAAAGTAAACATTTTTGGATAGTACACAGAGTTATGATATTAATTCATGAGTTTCGATGGTTAATAAGACATTCTAGTGACTGTACTTTTAGTCCGTAGAGAAGAATAAAAGCAATGAATAATGGTTATATGAAAGGTCACTTTGTACTGAAGATCATACAATTAAGTTTTTTTTCAGCATTTAGACCATATACGGTAGTAAGCGATTGTTGTGGAGATCGTTGAATTAAAAATTTAGCATCGAAAACTAACTGTTATAGGTGAGCTATTATAAACCTGGTAATGTAACAGTGGAAGTATAGATAAAGCACTTCCTACGAAGCCTGAAAAATCTGGATTCGGTCCTCAACGGGTTACCGGGGGTGTACTGCTGAAGAGTCCCAGTCTAGGAAGAAACAAGCGTCTAGCGCTTTCAGTGATTATCTAATTTAAGTAATTTAGTGATGTAAATCTGAACTAAAGTAAACAATTAGTTCTCTTCTAGTTAATAGTTTATTCAGTTTGAAATAACTGTTGTTATCAACTGAACATCCTCAACATAGTGTTACACATTTCCAGTGATTCACTATCAGGCTTGGAAGTATGGATGGATTATATTTTTAACAAGTTATGTGCATTGACATCAAAGGGTCAAAAGTCCATAGACTTCACAATTCAATCGCTTGATAAATTTTCTTATTGCAGTGAACTCTTATAATACCTTACTTATACCTGAGTCGGTATTAGTATAATCTTATAAAGTTCGTCAGTTAACTTATTTAACAAATGGTATCATTCAGTCAGTTAAAATTTATCTATGTCTTTGTACCATTATTATCACGTGTGTAACAGCAGATAATAATACCAATCACTAGATTTCATTAATGCAGTTTACAGATAACCAGCTACATGAAATCCTTTAGTATTCAATGTTAGAACGTAGACAATAAGTGAGTTTCACATTCGAGTAGAACAAGGACTTAATAAATTATCTCTATTAGTTTCTTAAATAACTAATAATTGGTCTTGAATATCATTTTTAGAAAAAATAGTCTTCGTTTTCAATCTTCAGTTGGAAAATACTATACATATATAACCATGAATATCGAATAGGTCATTAAATCATACTGAGAGGTGTATAAATCGAATTACATATAAAAAAATATTTCTGCTGTTTCATCTGACATTTCCCCTTATACATCAATAAAATTTGGTATTCTAGCATAGTTTTTGGTTATGTGTGCGTAAATATGCCGTATATTGATTGGTATCTCCAAGTAACTATGTACTATAAGATATTTTAATATTAAGATTGCCATTTTTAAATGATCTCATTAATAATGATAGACAGTTGATTTGCATCGATTTTTGTTAGGAGTCTACAAATATCTTTTGATAACATCTTTATAAACCTAGAAACAGTTTGAGAACGTATTAATAGATCAACATTGTGTAAAAGCTTCTCAGAAAAAAAAGAAGGACTATGTATCATGTTTTTATTGCTTCCAGAACTTGCTAGTAAATCAAGATCATCTAAAACCCTATAGATATACTCCATTTTCGGCGAGTAGATTAATCATGGAATAAACCTTTAACTCGTATTGTTCACCTTTTCTTTATTGTTTAGGTGTGGAGGTGGCCAGGGATAATTGGAGACTTTCAAGTTGAAGAATTATCAATTCTGGATGACAGAAAGCCAAAACAATTTATCACGATCTGGGTTGTTTTTCAGAGTGTCATGATGTTGATCCTTTCTATAATCTGGACTCTCTGAGTTGAGGATACTTGACAACTCACTATGTTTGATTATGGTTATCTCCGAAGGATGAAAGTTTTGTGTATTAACGATCCAGCTTACAGAATGCAACACTACCACCATAGGCCTATATCTAAAACTTTTATCAAATGAGATTGTTGAAACACGGGACTGAGCACTTGTTTAATCACTGCTCATGTAATAGTATCACTAGTCGTTACTCATAAAAAAATATGTATCTGGTAAATGAGTTGACCTATTTCATTATTTACTATAAAATCTTTGACAAGCAATAAACAGTTAACAAATGCTAAATCAAAATTACCCAAGTTATTCATTAATTTTATAAATTGTCTACGGGATTATATATTACAGGCCAAGAATATATCTTACGAATTGTAAGCAAAGATGGATAGTGGTTAGCAGTAGAACCCAGGACGTTTCGTCCTATTTGGGACTCGTCAGCTGGATGTACCTGCATTTCAGAGTTGATGTTCACTCTGAGATTTCACTCTATAAATTAAGGCTATATCGAGGCAATACGCACAGTATGCACATATACCAATAAGAGACTGACCAGTTGCAGTCCTAAACATCAATGGGAAGATTCAAAAAACAATAATAAATGAATTTATCTTTAGAATTATTCAAGAATATGAGATCGATTATTCTCTTTGGAATCACCTTTCCGACTTTAGTATTTTGTAATTATTAAATAACAAAATTTGATTGTAAGTTCTTACATGTTCACTTTCAATTTCAGTGTGATATTAATTTCATATGCGAATCAATCCTATGAAGGTTTGAAAATTGTACTTTGGTTCTGTTATATACAAACAAAGAATAAATGAATGGTAACTGCTAGAAATTATTTATGGAATATTATCACAAATATTCTTACTAAATAATTATTCAGTAATTGGATTATATCGTATTATTATTATCATATTATTCAGAGGTGTTCTGATGACGTCAGTCAGTCAGTCACAACGTAGAACTTCGTACGTACGTACATCAGTTCGAGTTGCCACACGACGTTAGCACAGAGATGCAGTTGTCGATTCAAATCCCATAGTGATAGAAGTAGTAAGAGTATAAGCAGTAATCCGAAAGATTAGGGTTTGAAGATGTTATTCAAGGAATATAATCCAACGAAACAAATTTGAAAAGAGAAAAAATATAGAGACATAGAGAATTCAGAAGATTAGAATTTGGTAGGACACAAGAAGTGGATGCACCTTCGCCATTGCAAACGAGTTTGAGCCATGTCATTCAAGGTCTCTAACCATCGATTTCTATCATCTTGCGGATCCCAACCAGGTAGTCTACACCTACCAACATGGCTCAGTCCAATTGTCAGTGACTTCATGGACGTAATAGTGGTTTAAGCACTCAGTTTTCATTCAGTATACATAAGGTTGCAACTCCATTCCCAGTAATTCACTCTGGTTAGTCGAGTAATGTCATATATGCTTATATAACATGTCTCAAAGTCAACCAGATGAACCTGTAGAGAACGGCTAAATTATATTGATATGTAAAAATGGTTCTTTTTATTGACAATTTAATCTATTTTTACAAGAATTTATTTCATGAATAAAGCACATGATCATTAACTTATATTTCTAGGTTTTCTGATCAATTTCAGAAATAAAATTTTTAAAAGTTGGAATCATATTGTACAAAATAGTGAGTAAGTAAACCTGATATGAAGTTTCTTTGACGATCCAGTCGTTAAAATTACATTCACTTAAGTCGACTATTTAATTATCAAATAAATATGTTAATTATAGAAGGGGTTTTGTGGAGATTTAGTATTTATTATAGTTGAAAGCGTGAGTCAATTGAATGCGCACTGCTGAGGAGTCCTATAATAGGACGAAACGGCCGTCCAGTGTTTCCAGGTTTTCCATGGTGGTCTAGCTTCAATTGACTCACGCTTTCAACTATAATAAATAAATATGTATTGAAAACCAAGTAAGGGTACTGACCAAAATATCAGTGGATAATGTTTATGCTAAAAAATTCATGAATCAACCGAAAGGTCACAGTATATTGAAACTTACTGTGCATTTAATACCGAAAAAGCCATTCTACATCACTCTACCGTTCAAAGTTGGCTTGTATTGAAACAAAGCCTCAAATCAGCGATACGAAGTAAAAGTCAGTATTATTAAAAAAAACAAGGTCCGTGCTTCACCAAAAATCTAAAGGCACATAAACGATTGTGTCACATTTCACTGTGTTCATCAGTTTACATATGCATTTGTCCACAAATTCATAGGGAGGAGTAATAGCGATTTGTAACTGTACCAAATTGGTTGCAGAAATAAATAAAATTAATTGACCTAACCAAAGCACATGATAAACAGCCATGGCCCTTTATCGCTAAACACAGTTGAAACAGTTAATAAGATTGATCTTAACTTAGCTTTCGTGGTTTTGTATAAAAGTGTTCAAGGGAATACACAAAAGTCTACGGAAAACCTAATCCTTACGAAAATTCGAACCTTCCTTTTGTGTTCAAAAACAAGTA